CTGTGGAAATACCACCTTGGACTCATGGCAGTGAGTTTGTTTTTTTTGGTTTGGTGCTTATGGATGCAATCTCATTTGGGAGTAGGGTTTTCTTTGTTATGTTAATTAAGCCTTGAGCATATAGGGTGTGTCTTAAACCTACTCACTTTTGAGAGATAAAAAGAGTAGATTATGTTGAGCCCAGGTTATGAAGGAGTTGTTCAGCGTGAGGAATTTACCAACACATGACAATGCAAGTGCAAGAAGGAGAGTTTATTTGCTAGCTCGAGTTAGGGTCCCTGCTCTCACCAATTCAGTGGTTTGAGCAAAAGACCTCATGCTCTTTTACTATCACAATTTTATAGGAAAAAATATAGGGTGGAGTAGATAATTGGGTTTTAGGGCAGGGGTTTGGATGTCGGAGGGGGGGTTGGAATCCCCTGGCTTCAAAGGTGAGCGAGAGACTTTTTTGGGGCCCGGGCAGATCTCTTTGATATGTGCGAATCCGGGGGGAGGTGAGAGCTGTCTGAGCCTTCAAAGGTGGGCGAGAGACTTTTTGGGGCCAGGCAGATCTCTGATAAAAGCTCTGAGGCATGGGATGTGTTAATCTCCATACTAAAGGCTTCTGGTTTAAGATCTACTTGGAGGCATTAGGACTCAGCATGGGACGTGTTAATCTCCATACTAAAGGCTTCTGGTTAAAGATTTGGGCCTCAGCTCCACAATTAGGCACAGAGAACTCAATTTACTGCCAACTCTCAGGCAGGAAATGAAAGGGTCAATTTCTGAAAAATCCAATCTCTCCAGAGAAATTACTTCCAAACACTGACATTTGAGGAGTACTTCCTCTGGTGGCATAGTGCCTACGGAATTTGACTGCTAACCAGAAGGCTGGTGGTTCAAACCCACTAGCCATTCTTTGGAAGGAAGACTGGGCAACCTACTTCCGTGTAGAGATACTGAATCCTAGTAAAGTAAAAACTATTTCCCCCACCCTGGAACCCAGATGGAAATAGATAAGTAAACTAAATTACCCCCAACTATTTATCCTCCTGGTTAAGCAGATAATTAGATAAGACCCCATAAGTAAACTAAATTACCCCCAACTATATCCCCCCCAAGGCAGATAACCCCTAAGTAAACTAAATTACCCCCAACTATTTCACCCCCTGGTTAAGGAAGATAATTAGATAAGACCCCTGATGGGAATAGATAAGTAAAGTAAATTACCCCAACTATACCCTCCCCCCCAAGACAGATAACCCTGGATGGGAATAGATAAGTAAACTAAATTACCCCCAACTATTTTCCCACCTGGAAGGATGAGTATTCAGTTCCTTAAAGAACTGAACAGAAAACATTCCTTCCTGCAGATGATAGACTGCTAACAGTATCTTAGAAACAACTTGTAAATTAACTCTGGCCCACCAATGTGCAAAAGGGCAAAAAGGAACAAAAGTTAGTTGCAGACCCTCCCCCCTCTGCCCAAGCCCCTATCTATCAGCTGATAACAGGAAGCTAGTGTGACTCATCCTCAGCACTGTTCCCATTTCACATTCACGCCCAAATTCCTCAACCTTCTGTGAATATGCACAACCCCCTCTCCTAAATCTACAAAAACTGTATTGCAATGGCATCTCCGGGAGTCAGATCTGGGTACTGAACTACCCCTACTCCTTGCATTGCCACTTTGCAATAAATAATTTTCTCTCCTTTCAATCTAGGTGTGTAAACTGTTTTGGCCTGACTGCACAACGGGTAGGGACCCGCATTTGGTCCGATAATAACACCACTTCAGAAACCCAAGGAGGGGTCACTATGAGTTGGAATCAACTCAATAACAGTGAGTTTAGTTTCATTCCCCCCGCCTGCTTCAACACACACACACACACAAACCATGGAAAATTCTGGCTTGAAACCTGATCATAGTGAGTCCTACCAATGAACAAGCCATGCTCACACACAGATTCCAGTCAATTTATTAGCTCCTCACACTTAAACATGGCAATATTGCCAAAAATCAGCACAGACAAACCAAAATAGAATACAGGTGAGATTCAGAAAAACGGAGTCAATCCAGAACGCAACAAACTATTAAAAATATAAACAAAGACAAGGAAAGAAAAGGAAACATTGATTGATAGCCTCAAAGAAAAAAGAAAATAAACTGTATCCATGGAACAGGAAGATATTCTAAAATGAAACAATAAAGAGAGATCAGAAAAGGATTCTTGGATTTTAATAAGAAGATAGCTGAAATTAAAAGAAAAAAAAATCACTAGAAAAGCTAGAAGATAAAATCAGGGAAACTTTCCAGAAGTAGAATAAACAGTCAAAGAGATGGAAAACAAAGGGTAAGCTAAAAAAAAAAGGGGGAAAAAATTAGAGCATCAGTCCAGAGACCTAACATCTGAATAATAAGGAGGACCAGAAACATAGAACAGTATGGGAGAAACTAACAAACAAATAACAAAAGACAATTTCTGAAAAACAAGAACATGAGGCTTATAAAATGCCCTGCGTGTGACTAGGAAAGGACACACACCAGAGCGCATCACTGCAAAATCTCAAAATATGGAGATAATACCTGAGATAAAGACTGAGAATGGAAATGGCATCAGATTTCTTAACACTGAAATTGATATAACAATTGAGTAATGATTTTAAAATTGAGGTTTAATAATTACTTTTATCCTAGAATTCTATGTCATCTAAATTATTGATCAAGGCATTTTTATATATGCAAGTATTCAAAAAATTAACCTGCTATATTTTTCTCAAAAAGGTCCTGGATGATGTACTTTAGCAAAAATGAGGAAGACTAAGACTTAAGAATAAGTACCTAAACAGGAAAGCAGTGCAGAGAAATCTTAGGACAGTAGCAAGTCCGCGGACCTAGAGAAGAACTTCTCCAGATTACACAGGAGCTTCAGGAGAAAAGTCTTGGGGAGGGAGGATGGTAATGACATGTTTGAACATACAGGAAATATACTACAATGTATGTTATTTGACAAAGATACTGGAGAGTTCAACAAATATTAGCAACAGGTACTACACAAAATGAAGATAAGGTAGTCATCAATTCCAGGAAAAACAAAGGGCTGAAATACAGCAGCAATTGTAAGGATGGTGCAGGATCAGGCAGTGTTTCATTCTGTTATACACAGGGTCACTCTGAGTCAGAATCAACTTAATGGCACCTAACAACAATGAAGAATACTGAAAATACCATGAACTGACAGAAGAACAAACAAATCTGTCTTGGAAGAAGTACAGCAAAATGCTCCTTAGAAGTAAGAATGGCCAGACTTCATCTCATGTACTTTAGTGATGCTGTCAGAAGGGACCAGTACCTAGAGAAGGGTATTATACTTGGTCAAGGAGGTCAGTGGAAAGGGGAAAACCCTCAACAAGATGGATGGGTGCAGTGGCTGCAATGATGGGCTCAAGCATAGAAGGGATTGGGAAGATGGTGTAGGCCCAGGTAGTGTTTTGTTCTGTTGTACATGGGTCAGTATGAGTCAGAGCCTACTAATTGGCCCCTATCAACAACAGTGACAACAATACAAGAAAGGAGTCATGGTCATATTTCGCTGTTTTACTTCTCAGCAAGAGTATTTGTTTAAATCACAGTACTATAAACCTCAACCACTGACTGAACAAAACAGTATTATACAACTTTGTTGAGGGGATGGAGGGAAGGAAATTGTACAGAGAGTGAGAGAACTATCATCTTCCCCGAAGTTAACAAATGAAAAAAGAAAATAGCAGTAAAAACATACTTGTAGAAATACAAGGGTAACTAACAGATAAACATAAATATAATATGTAAATATATGAACATCAAATACATACCTCTGAGGGGTACTTCAAGAAATTAAAATTTGAAATCTCTAGAAGCTCTGGTGGCATAGTGCCTAAGGCATTTGACTGCTAACCAGAAGGCTGGCGGTTCAAACCCACCAGCCACTCCTTAGAAGGATGGATGGGCAATCTACTTCCATAGTGATACTGTCTCGGAAACCCAAGGAGGGGTCGCTATGAGTCGGATCCAACTCGATGGCAGCGAGTTTATGACTATCTCTATTGCTAAGATGTAAGCAAGATAAGGAGAAAAATGGAGAGTGCAAGAATAAAGCTCAAACAAGTAACCAGCCTCAAACCAAATGATCATAAAACACCTCTGTGCCTGAAAGAAACCTCAAACCAAAACCAAACCCAGTGCCACCCAGTCCGTTCCAACTCAGACACTTCACACACTCTTTTACAAGCATGTTTCCCTCTCATTTTGTAATGATGCCATTTAAAATCCTGACGCCTCCCCTGTGCGTGGATGCTACAAAGAGTCTCTCAAACATGCGATGGATTGTCTCGTTTCTCTGATTTATCGCAGACACATTGAAAATACTTCTCTTGCTTTTATTTTTATTTCTAATCAAAACCTTCATTTCTACGTTGTTTGTGTTTTCAGTCATGAGAGTCTACGGTAAATGCTTTGGTCTAATCAGACTAATATTCACTGTTTCGGTAAATGCTTTGGTCTAATCAGACTAATATTCACTGTTTTCCACACTCATGTCTGTACAGCTGGTAAATATCCAAAGTACGAGAATTCTTCCAATAAAGCTGATTCTCTCCTAAGAGAGAATCAGCTTTAAGTTTTTCTAAAAATGTATGTATGCATGCCTATAACCCAATAGAATGTATTCTCTAGGTATAAACCTAAAACTTTCACTAAAATCATTCCAAATCCCTTTATAATTACCTTTGAAGTAAAATTTTGATAGAAAAGCAAGCAACACACCCAATCCCATTAGCCTTAAGTCTTCCTGAACCAAACATGTTTAGGCTTAGAAATAATGAAATTGGAACTACTCAAGTATATGCACTGACGGATAATAATTACTGCTTAGAAGACATACAACCAAGCCCACTTACTGTGGTTTAGCTTTAAAAATAGACAAAGTGATTTAATAAATAACAAATTCAAATATGACATTTAGAAAAAGAGATTTGTTTACCTCTGTTGGTTTGTAGCAGTCTACAAGGGCTTCCTAGGATTAAATACACAAAAGGTGGATTTTATTATTTTTTAATTAAACACCATTTTTAAAGTGAAATTAAAAATCCTTTTATCTTTATAGTATTATGTCAAACATAGTAAACCAAGATTTCTTATTAACTATCTAGAATCACACTTTTTTTATTCTAGTACCAGTTGGTCATGTGAAGATATAAAAAGTTGTGTCTTTAATATGTAGAAATGTCTTGTTCTTCAGAACATGCACACATACATAACCTACAAGGAAAAAAATTTTTGAATAGGAGATTTATATTATGTATTACCGTAGCACTGAAAACTAAATCTGATCCTTGATGACCAGGTTATGAGTACCTCACGGAGGAAAAGAACAGTGCTTACGTCAAGGAAAGATAGGAGACATTAAGGAGCTCTGGTAGCATAGTGCCTAAGGCACTTGACTGCTCACCAGAAGGCTGGCGGTTCAAACCCACCAGCCACTCCTCGGAAGGAAGGTTGGGCAATCCTACTTCCGTAGTGATACTGCCTTGGAAATCCAAGGAGGGGTCGCTATGAGTCGGGGCCGACTCGATGGCAAACAACAACAACAACAAGGCATCCATTAGGTTGTAGGAGTCTTTGCCTGGTGCAAACAGTTAACACATCGAGCTGCCGACCAAAAGGTTGGAGGTTCAAGTCCACCCAAAGGCACCTCAGAAGAAAGGCCTGGAAATCTCCTTTCAAAGGAGCACAGCCCCTGAAAACGCCATGTAGCACATTTCTACTCAGACACACATGGGGTCACCATGAGTTGGAATCTATTCCAGCAATTAGCTTGGCTCTGATTTGGCTCTGATTTGTAGTTTGCAGGGAGATGTGGACTAACGCAATAAGCTCTAACCTAGGACAGCATTCCACAGGCTCAAACCCACTGATTTTCCTTCTATCAGCTGAATATAACCCAGAGGGATCCAAATGGTTTTAAGCCTACACATCTGGTCAGTGACTTTTTACCCCCTCGTCCTGCATGCACACGCGCGCACACACACACACACACACACTTTTCCTTTCAGTTGCCAACTTAGTTAACATTAAGCTTGATATATGTAAAGTTTCAGCTGTCTGTGAGAGGTGGCAACAATCACACTGGACAAGGAGAGGGGGTCTGGCCAGGCTTCGGCCACACCCCAGCTGTGATACAGCCTCTACAGTCCTCCGCATCCTCATCTGGGAATCAAGGCACTATAACCTGGGGACAGCTGACGCCCCTTTCCTATTCTAAATTTCAAGGAAAAAAAAAAAATTCTGTCATTACATTTTCTATTTAAAAAGAAAAAAAAAAAAAAAACCCACATTGCCAGCAAGTCAACTCTGACTCATAGCAACCCTACTGGACAGGGCAGAACTGCCCCATAGGGGTTACAAGGCTATAATCTTCATGGAAGCAGACTGCCTCATCTTACTCCCACAGAGTATTTGGTGGGTTGAAACCTCCAACTTTTCAGTTGGCAGCTGAGTGCTTAACTCCTGTGCCACCAGGGCTCCTATCTATAGAATTGTTGTTGTTGTTGTTATCTATAGAATTAGTGCCTGGTTTATCTTATGTTTCTAAAAAAATGTATAACCAGATGCTATTCTCTCCCAAGTAATCCTACCAACACAAGAGAAAAACCATTTAACTGAGTCTGCTCACTCCTCAGGGAACACTGGTCATTATTAACACATTAAACATACACATGCATTAAATTTAAATGTGCCTTTTGTTAGCTTTCTGCGATCATCTGCCATTGGGGATAACCAACTGCCATTAACAGTTTTTATCAGGGCAAGCAAAGGATAATGGCAGGTCAGAGGTCAACTGGTTTTAAGAACTCCCAAATGCAGATTTATAAGTTTTAGATTTGACCTGCTCCGGAAAGGGAGAGTTTTACTGCTCTGGACTAAGGAAACACAAGACATCTCCAAGTCCACTGTAGTGGAATGCTCTAAGGAGAGCGTCCTCCAAAAGCCAGTATTTTATTAAATTGAATTATGCTCTAAACCAGCTTATCTGGAACTTGATTTTATGAATGATAAAATCCAAAACTGGTCAATGGATCTTTGAGGGCACAATGAGCTCTCTCCCAAGAAGAGGCTGGAGAAATTCATGTTCACAAGGTGTTTTGAGAACTGGCGGGAGTCAAAGCACTGCCTAATCAGCCTGTTACAAGTCTCTGTATACTCAGGACCAGGGCTTCCCTCTGGGCTAGGACCCGTGGCCAGCCCTGTGCCAACACCACCACCGACCGGCAGAGCTCACTCACCAACACCACCACCAACCGGCAGAGCTCACTCACGCCAAGCCCTGGAGACCTTCGGGTATGAGAGCATTCGTTGTTGGAAAGGTGTGGGGCTTGAGAGCTGCTTACCTGTAATTTTAACGCTCTGTCTTCATCACTGTCTGCGTCAAGCAGATCGTCAATGTCAATTTCCACATCAGGCATTTCTTCTTCCTGGGGGAGGGGGAAGAAGGCATTTCATTCGTGAGAAGGTAAATTGTACTGAACTAACTCAGATGAGTTAAATAAGCTACTAGATTGTCAACTGAGGGGGATGACAGAGAAAGGGGGAGGAGGAGAGACTGGGGGGAGCAGGGGAGAGGGAAGAGGGACAGGAGGGAAAGGCAAAGGAGGAAGAAGAGAGGGGAGGGGAGGGCAACATGGAGGAAGGAAGGGGAAGGAGGGGGAGGGGCAGGAGAAGGGGGGGAGGGGGAGCAAAGGAGATTTAAGTCACAAGAGCAGTGAAAACCAGTATTTCAAAGAAGACATTTATGGACTTGGTAGCAGAAAGCTGAACCCGTGAGTCTATAAGGGGTACCGGCAGGTTACAGGGTAAGTGTTCAGAGCTATAGTTGGTGACTACCTCGCTCTTTATGCAGGGACCACCTCTCTCCTCACAGCACTAAACAAAACAAAACAAACTCATTGCCATCCAGTCAATTCTGCCTCATAGCAACCCCTGAGGCAGTGAATCTCTAGGAAAGTAGATTGCCCCATCCTCCTTCCACAGAGCAGCTGGTGGATTTGAACCTCCAACCTTCTGGTTAGCAATCAAATGCCTTCAGCACTACACCACCAGAGCTCCTTCCTCATAGCCCTAAATCTGGGGAAAACCAATCTACCATGAGGTTCCTGAGACAAGGTGCTCAGCTCAGCTCTGGGCATCAGCATCCCCCCACACCAGAGAGGACACGGGATCCACCTGAAACCAGTGGGGGCTTTGGAAAAAGAAGCTCTTTTGTGAGAAGCAGCCCCACCCTGAACTGAGAGCTGGCTGAGGAAGAACAAAGCCCTGGCAGTCATCTTGCAACCAGGAAGGAAAGCAGAGTTCAGAGTGAGTCTGACTCATGGCGGGCAGAGCAGGGAGAAATACAAACACAAGGTTCTGGATAACACCACCAAGTCACTGCATCAAACCACCGCTGAAGCCTGCCATGACCTCTGAAGCCCTGAGCCAGTTACCCTCGCTTACTGTTTCAGCAGAGTCTCGCGATCAACTGCTGACCAAAAGGTTGGGAGTTCGACTCCACCTAGAAAAGTGCCTTAGAAGGGAGGCCTGGCAATCTCCTTCCAAATGGTCACGATCATTGAATATCCTATGGAAATGGTTCTACTCTGATACACATGAGGTCATGATGAATCACAGTTGACTTGACAGCAACTCATGACATTTTAAAATTTTTTTAGCCACTTTGTGTTGAGTTTTCTGTTCCTGCAACCAAAGCCAGCCCAGAAAAGAGAACAAGGTAATCAACAGGAATTTGGTAAAAAACCGCACTAATTGGGAATCTCTACTTCCAACACAAGTGGGTCTTTGCTCCCTCTCACCTCTTCCATCTCCTGAGTCTTCCCTCTACCTCTCAGAACAGAACTTTAACCATCAAATTAAAATAGCATTGAAGACGGTCCTGAAATTCTGAATTTATCTTTCCATTAGAGCCACCTGCACCCCAGCCCCTCCGGCCACAGGAATGGCTGATGGTGTCTGTGGAGCAGAGGGTGATGTTTCTTCACTGCGTTGCATAAGCTCTCGTCATCTGGTCTCCCCGTGCAAAGCTGGTTGCCTGACTGTCATCTTTCTAATTAAAGGCCTTTATTAAGGTAGTAGCTCTTAACCATTTTACTTTCCTGCCCCAACACAAACCCGAGGAGTATGACATACTAGCTCCGGAGTGCAGGTCCTCCATGGGCAGGAATCATTCCAGAAACAACCCTGTCCTGAGTCCTCCCATAATACTGAGTTGGAATCAACTTGATGACAATGGGTAGTAAGTTATTCCTGCTCCTATGGGGAATCTCTGCTTAGATCCTATTGCTCAGATGTAAAGTATACATAACCCACCAAAGTGGGTATTTATCAATGGGAATGGTTTAGCCTCATCTGCAAGGTTTGGACTCTTCAGCCTAATTTTCCCATTTGTACCACACCCATTAACAGGAGCTGATACTACTAGAAATGTTGTTGTTGTTGTTATGTGCCATCGAGTTGAACCCGACTCATAGTGACCCCTTTTTGGGTTTCCAAGGCAGTATCACTACAGAAGTAGATTGCCCAACCTTCCTTCGGAGGAGTGGCTGGTGGGTTTGAACCGCCAGCTTTCTGGTTAGCAGTCAAGTGCCTTAGGCACTATGCTACCAGAGCTCCTACTACTAGAAACAGGAAGTGTCATTTATCCAGAATAAGGCTAAAGGCTGACCACCTTTCTACTACCAGGAACATGGGCTCTGGGGCCAGGGGCATCTTGGGTCAAAGCCTGGCTCTGCCATTAACCCACTGTGTGACTCTGAGCAAATGTCTTAACTTCTCTGGCCTCACTTTCCTCATCTATGAAAATGGGAAAGGAAATAACTACGTAGAAAGGATTAAATTAGTGAGTTGACATCAACTTCTTCATACACCACCAGGCCCATAGCTAACACTTCTGAGCCCTGATTATTATTTCTATACTGGAAGAGGTGTGATCCATACAGAAAAGCTCAGATAATACAGGGCTATCATTCAAAATCCTTCATTTTACTAGAATCAAAATCTCTTTAAAAATAGAATAAAATAATAATAATAACAAAAGATGGAAAAGCTTATCTCCTTAGAAAACTTGAATCACCTTGGAACTGGGATCCAGTGCTTGTTGCAGTACAAGTAATAGAAGAGAAATTTAAAAAAAAAAGTAATCACTGGGCCTCCTAGACACTCAGTCTGCATTTAGAATTGATGCAGGCATCCTACCCTGTGATTGGATGGTTCTGGGCTGACGGCTGCGCCTTCCTTCACTAGAGTCCATCCTGCACTTGTATCCAACCAGGCTGGCTCTCAGACTGGTGCAGTTGCTGCCGTTGTTGTTAGGTGTCATCGAGTTGGTTCTGAGTCACAGCAACACTATGTTCAACAGAATGAAACAGCGCCTGGTCCTAAACCATCCTCACAATCCTTGCCATGCTTGAGCCCATGGTTACAGCCACCATGTCCATCCATCTCATTGAGGGTTTTCCCCTTTTTCACTGACCCTCTACTTTACCAAGCATGGTGTTCTTCCTCAGAGACTGGTCCCTTCTAACAACATGTCAAAAGTACATGAGATGAAGTCTGGACATTCCTACTTCTAAGGGATATTCCAGCGTACCTACTTCAAGACAGATTTCTTCATTGATCTAGAAGTCCATGGTATTTTCAATATTCTTCACCAATACCACAATTCAGTCAGTTCTTCTTCGGTGCACCTTATTCAGTGTCCAATTTTCACATGCATATGAGGCTACTGAAAATACCGTGGCTTGGGTCAGGCACACCTTAGTCTTCAAAGTGACATTTTTGCTCTTGAATACTTTAAAGAGGTTTTTTGCAGCAGTTTTATCCAGTGCAATACATAGTCTGAGTTCTTGACTGCTGCTTCCATGGGTGTTGATTGTAGATCCAACTAAAATGAAATCCCTGGGAACTTCCATCTTTTCTGTATTTCTTATGATTTTGCTTATTGTTCTATTTATAAGGATTTTTGTTGAGGTATAATCCATACTGAAGGCTGTAGTCTTTGATCTTTAAGTGCTTCAAATCTTCTTCACTTTCAGCAAGCAAGGTTGTGTCATCTGCGTATTGCAGGTTGCTAATGAGTCTTCATCCAATCCTGATGCTATGTTCTTCTTCATATAGTCCAGCTTCTCAGATTATATGCTTAGCATACAGATTAAATAAGAATGGTGAAAGGATACAACCCTGACACACACTTTTCCCGATTTTAAACCATGTACCATCCTCTCATTCTGTTCAAATGACTGCATCTTGGTCTATGTACAGGTTCCTCATGAGCACAATTAAACGTTCTGGAATTCCCATTCTTTGCAATATCATCCATAATTTGCTATGATTCACACAGTTGAATGTTTTTGCATAGTCAATAAAACACAGGTAAACATCTTTCTGGCATCCTTTGCTTTCAGCCAAGATCCATCTGGCATCTGCAATAATATCCGTCATTGCACATCCTCTTCTGAATCTGGTTTGAATTTCTGGAAGTTCCCTATCAATATACTGCTGCAACCATTTTTTAATTATCTTCAGCAAAATTTTACTTGTGTGTGCTATTAATGGAAATGTTCGATAATTTCCACATTCTGCTGGATCACCCTTCTTTGGAATGGTCACAAGTATGGATCTCTTCCATTCAGTTGGCCAGGTAGCTGTCTTCCAATTTCTTAGCATAAACAAGTGAGCACATTGCCACACTACATGTGTTTGTTGAAACATCTCAACGGGTATTCTGTCAATACCTGGAGCCAGGTTTTTCACCAATGCCTTCAGTGCAGCTTTGACTTCTTCCTTCAATACTTGTACTGGTTCTTAATCATATGCTACTTCCTGAAATGGTTGAATATTGACCAATTCTTTTTGGTACAATGACCCTGTATTCCTTCCATCTCCTTTGGACACCTCCTGCACTGTTCAATATTTCTTCCAAAGAATCCTTCAATATTACAACTCAAGTCTTAAATGTTTTCTTACATTCTTTCAGCTAGAGAAATGCTGAATGTGTTCTTCCTTTTGGTTTTCTAACTCCAGGTCTTTGCATATTTCATCAAAATAATTTACTATATCTTCTCGTGCCACCCTTTGGAATCTTCTGTTCAGCTCTTTTATTTCATTATTTCTTCCATTTGCTTTAGCTACTCAATGTTCCAGAGCAAGTTTCAGAGTCCCTTCTGACACCCATCATATCCTGTATCTTTAAGGACCTTTTACTTTCTTCATGTATCATGTTCTTGATGTCACCCCACAACTCGTCTGGTCTTCGGTCACTGGTGTTCAATGCATCAAATCTACTCTTGAGATGATCTCTAAATTCAGATGGGATATACCAAAGGTCATATATGGCTCTCATGGTCTTGTTTTAATTTTCTTCAGCTTCAGTTTAAACTTTTATATGAGCAATTGATGGTCTGTTCCACAGTTGGCCCCTGGC